TTTTGAAATGAGCATGATGGGAGAACTCTCATACTTTCTAGGACTTCAAATTAAACAACTCAGCTCTGGAATTTTCATTTCTCAATCTAAATACATTGATTCAATGCTTAAGAAATTTGATCTTCAAAACATAAATCCATGCAATACACCTATGGCTGCAAACTCAAAACTGGATAAAGATGAAGCTGGAAACCCTGTTTGTGAAAAGAAATATCGTGGCATGATTGGTTCTCTTCTTTATCTGACTGCCAGTCGACCTGATATTCAGTTTTCAGTTGGTTTATGTGCAAGATTTCAATCCTGTCCAAAAGAATCTCATCTGACTGCAGTAAAACGAATCTTTAAGTATATAAAAGGAACCTCTGATTTAGGCCTTTGGTATCCAAAATGTGACTACTTTGATTTGGTTGGCTTTAGTGATTCTGATTTTGCTGGTAGTATTACTGATAGGAAAAGCACCTCAGGATCGAGTCACTTTCTTGGTCCCTGTCTTGTATCTTGGTTCAGTAAGAAACAAGGGGCTGTGGCACTCTCAACAGCTGAAGCTGAATACATGGCTGCTGGGAGTTGTTGCACTCAATTAATGTGGATGAAATCCCAATTATCTGATTATGGTCTTGAATTTTCAAAAATCCCTATCTGCTGTGATAATACAAGCACCATTTGCATGTCAAAAAATCCTGTCCAACACAGTAGGACTAAACATATAGAGATAAAACATCATTTCATTCGTGATTTAGTTCAACTTGGCAAAATTGAGCTTCAATTTGTTCCCACAGAAAATCAGCTTGCTGATTTATTTACTAAACCACTGCCCACTGACAGGTTTGTTGCTCTATGTACTGAAATCGGCCTAAAATCTTTTCATCAGATTTGCACTCTTTCCTCATAATGATTTGTATTGGATATGCATTTAATTCCTCTTCTTTATGTCCACTTTATTTTGTTGCAACCAGATTGGTCTTTTTTCTGCATCTCTTGAGCATGCTTCTTAGAGTTACGAAGCATTTTTGCATGCCTGCATTTACTTCATGCTTCTTTCAAAAATTTACTTTCATGCGTAGGTAAACCTTGCTCTCTCTTTAAATACCAGGCCATTTTACACTCACTCCACACTTAATCCACCTTGATCCAACTCCTCCCAGAAACCATGTCTGATCACCTCCGTTCTCTTGGCTTTGTTCATACCTATATCTCATCCATCCATAGAGAACCTGCCATCATAAATCATCACCGCTACCTTGAATTCTTTGATCAACGGCCTCTTGCCTTCCAAATCCGCATTGATCCTCATGAGTTTATTCCTTTTGGGATGGACATCATGCCTCTGATTAATGCTCTTGGCTGGGATTTCCTCATAAATATTCCTGCTCAACCAGCATGTCCTGAGCTTGTTAAGCATTTTTACAGCAACCTGCGCTGTCTTGGGATTCATACCAAAAGGTTCACAACCCTTGTCTATGGACATCTGCTTTCCATTCCCATGAGAGCTCTGAGCATTATTCTTGGATATCCATCCTCTGGTCTTGCTCTCTCCCACACATCTGAAATGTGGAAGTTTGATTTCAACCTTGATATTGAGGGATCTAAGTTTTCTGGTTAACCAGCTACTACCACCTTTGAAGCTTTTCCAGCTTCTCGCCTGTGTCCAAAACTTAGAATCTTTCATTACTTCCTCACTCGAGTGTTGTTGCCTCGAGGGTTCTCAAGAGATCAAGTTCTTCCTCTTGATATCTGGGTTCTTTCTCATGCCACCGCTGGTCAAAAACTTGACTTTTGCTCACTACTGTTTGGAGCTATGATCTCCCCTGGTGATGGATCTCTGCCTTTTGGAGGGATAATTACTACTCTCCTGGCCAATATCAATATCAACATCTCTGGCTTTCGATCAGAAACTCCTACTATTCACCTCAGTGCTAGAAATGTGCTGGCTTGCTTGGGTTTTCAAGTTCCCACATCTCCTGCTCGGTCACCATTAAGAGCACCGGCTAACCTTGGCCTTATTTTTGCTCTCGATGACTCATCATCAGTTGAATCTGATGAAGATCTTAATGATGACCCCAGCTCTCCGGTGCCAGGTCCTTCGCAGTAAAGATTGCCTATCTCAGGGGGAACTCTTGCGGCATATTCCCAGGGGGAATGTTTGTTGGAATTATTCTATGTTTTATTTTGCATTGCAAACTTTACAAAGTTGCTAAACTCATGTCATGGTTGACTATTTTGCAATCCGTGGGTGATTGCTGAACTCATGTTTTATTTCCAATCCATAAGGGATTGCTAGACATTATCTATTTATGTTATTGCAACCCATGGGGGTTTGCTGAATTTTGTTTACCTGTTATGTTTGGATATGGTGTCTGCTTGTGTGTTTCACTTTCAGGAAATAGAGGATCGGCTGAAGGGGGAAATTGTGAGATGAAAGGTCAGCTCTCCACCATACAAAACGACGCCGCTGCTGACAAAGATCAATCTCTTCACCAAACGACGCCGCTGGACGCATCATGAGCAGACTCAATACGACGCCGGTTGAAGATATGGTGTCCGCTGGATATGGTGTCCGCTGGAGCTGCTTTCGGGGTCAGCCTTATCCTCCAGAATCGTCTTCCTCCTCCATCCTCAAAAGACACAGAACCACCTTTCGCCAAGCACAAGCTCTCCTATGTTCTTGTGCTTGTCAAAAGCACACCTACAACCACAACGGTCATAATCCTCAGCCCTTTTTAAAGACCTCAGGAGTTCAAGAGAAGATCAACGGTTGCAGCTTGAATAGCGAATTCATTGGGCTGTCAAGGGTTCGGGTTTTTGTTCATCTTCAGTCTTCTTATCTATAGAGATTGATTCTGGGTAGATAGGAAGTGGGAAGATTGTTCAAACTCTTTTGTTCATCGACCATACTTCTGGTTGAGTTTCTTTTCTTTTCTTTCTTTCGATCTTTGTTTCCAAAATCGCAGATATAATGGCTGCAGAATGACTCTTGTTTCTTAATCCATCTTCGTATTATTCAATCATTCTTGGTTTCAATCTCCAAAAACCTAAACACAAAAACGTTTCCTCTCCCAGCCTAAAATCTCACATACCCCTACCTAGGACAAGACATTTATCCCATATCTATACCTAGGACTGTGACAGTGACCATTCGCAGAGGAAGCGCGGCGTCGTTTCCTGGTTTGGTCAACGCCTGACTTGAGCGTCGTCGTCCGGTGTCTTGGCGCGGCTTTGGGGCGCGCTCATGATCGTGTCGATTCTGGCGCGCCCGGATGATGGTTGTGTTGCGCCAGTGCTGGCGCGAGTGGCTCCTGCTGCGACGCCTTTTGGGGTATTTCCTTGGCGCGGCGAGATCCGAGTCATACCCAACAGTATTAAAGTGCAAATCAAAAGTTGTTCGACTATGCTTTGTCACGCATGCCTTGTCCAATTTGGAGGTGAGAGTAAAGTATTGGAGCCCAAACAGAGACTTGAACCTTCTCTTACTATCTGATCCAAACATCCTCTTTTCTTAGATAAGGGTGATATAGGTTTTATTTTTTGTAATTAGGTACTATTTAACATATTTGAATATGTGACCTACAATTTAAAAACTAGTAGTATTGCCACTAGACCAAACCCTTTTGGTAATCCAACATCCTCTTGGCAGAACCAACTGGCAGGTAGCAAGAGTCCTTGATTCACAAGCTTCCGTGATCTATTTTGCTTAAGCCATCAACAACAACAAAACGAAGATTTCCCAATGATACAGAACCCCCAACTCTAAAGAAAATGACAACGAGACTAGTGACCTAGATCTCATTTCAATTAGACGCCTCATATTCTCGCTCTATTCTTTTATTTGACTTTCAATGACCTTTTTATCTAAACAAATTGAAAGATCAAAGAAAACTGGATTAAGGAGCTAAAGACTATCTTACCTATACATATGGGGGAAACTCCATGAATTCGTCCTTCAAACTTCGTTTATTCTCTGCATCTTTATATTTGAGAATGATTTCGATTATAAAAGGAAAAAAGGGACAACTAAAGGAGTTTCTACAAATACGCATATCTCCCTAACAATGAGTGTCGTCAAAACCAACCAACATTCCCTCATTTACACTGTCATTGTTAGCATCTAATAGAGGAGACCTAGCAAGTGAGAGGCACACGATGAGAGTCCAACAAAGAGAAGAAAACTCATGTCCTCCCATCTTAACTTTTACATCCACATCACAATATCCATGCGCCCGAAGTGTCTCCCTATCTCATGTTAGGATAACAAATTTTTATCGAAATCGATATTAGAGCAGGCAAGAAATGTTGACTTTATCACACTCATCCACACATTCCCAATAAGCGTAACAAATCACTGAAATGTAGATCCTAGAAGGATGGTGACCCTAGTTTGGTACTAGGAGGAGTTTGTAGAATACATAAACAATTTGGAGGAGAGAGATTAAATGGAAGAAGAACCTTAAAGATCAGCAAACAATGTATCTCAAATAGATGATTAAGGAGTAAGCCTGGGAAGATTTTTAGAAATGGATTCAAACTCTTTTAGTTGTTGTTTTACTACTGAATTTATTTCTAAGACTATGATGACTTAAACCGGACAAAATGTCAAAATCTTCACTACAATCCATTTTCGTCACCCATACTTGCCACCAATCGCCCCGTCCAACTAAGGTTGGATCATCCTCTCTCCATGATTTGATTTTTTCTTCCTTGTAATTTGTCACCCGTAAAGTTAGTAGACCACCAAACCATCTTCATCACACAAACTGAAACAACTTAACAATTCTCTTCAAAATATAGAACTAGTAGAATTGATTCTTCATTCCATGGTGGTTCGTTTGTCTTCCAATCACAACGAACAAAGAAACAAAGCAAGCGCCAAAGTTAAGAGATTGTAAGATTTGATACCACCACAACTTCACGTGGACCTTCTTTTGTCCATTCCTCTTCCTTGACCCAAACCAACCCACCATTTCTTTATACATTCCCCTCAACCTTTTAGCCACCCTTCTTTTCTCCTTTGGTCCTTTCCTTTGCAACCAAACCAAACCAACTAAGCCTCCGACCCTCTTTTTCCCCTGCGGCCATGGCTCTGCCACTGGGCCTTTTGTGTTCTCTGGTTGCGACCCAACCAGCATACATGGATGGGATTCTCAAAAGACTTGCGCCTTTCTCTTCTTTCTGTGTGCTCACTGCTCAGCGCAAAGTGGTTTCCTTTTCCAGATGGCGACGTGACCAAATCTGTCGAGGGAATCGTTCTAATCTAACTGGGAAGAAAGAACCGGAAGAACAATGCAAAAGCAAAAGCGAACCAAGTCTCTGTAGAGCCGGAAATGTCCCCATGAAAGTGAAAACTGGTGAAAAGGAAGTTTTCATGTTTCCTGCCGTGGTCGTCTCCAGAATCATTGCGTAATAACGCTACAAACACATTAGAACACAACGGAGGCGTGAAAAAACAAATGACGAGAATATTCCATTGTTGCTTGTTTGACATGAAATGGTTACACTTTATATGTGTATATATAATCTTCATGTAACACCATCTCTTTCAGCTTCTTCAAACATAATTCCGTTTGCAACATATCATCCGTCTTTCCAAGTGCAAATCCTAGTTGAGGACTGATAACAACAGGAACATCCAAGACATATAATTACGCCAGGTATGGACTAATTGGTACACCAATCACAATTTAAATGAGAAAGAAAAAGACCATTAATGAGATCGATCTTCAGCTCGGTACAACACAACCTACGAACAATATGGTGGTGTAACCTGCATCGCCAAAATCAACAGGATACTAGCAACTGCAACCATGGTGTGTGTGTATAAAGAAAGATATGCTTCTGGTGATAGACAGACCAGCTCGGCTTCAAGTCTCTGAAACAGACCACTGCTTCTGCTTCTTTTGTTTATGGTGCATTTCAAAATCCCTTTGAGCCGGGGAGGTCAATCCACTGTAACTGGAGCTCAACTTCACCACATTCCACGTTTCTCAATCTGAGGCACATATCTTGGACAACTTTGCCATCAACACATGTAATGCAGGTCTCATCCGCCAAACAGTTTTGCCTGCCCGGGTGCATTTTGTTGATTATGGTGCCGTTTGGTAGGCCTGACACGTTCATCTTTAATGCATCCATGAAAGGTTTGATGTCGAATTCCGCATCCCCCATTTTGTCATCTAAGGTGAATGTGTCGTGGTCATAAACAGTCTAAGCCCCAGATGGAAACATAACAGATTGTCAGTAATGAACATTGAGTTCCCCTCAGTTGGAAAGTATGCAGCTTGAGCGCTTCGCCCAGCCAATATGAATACAAACTACTTAAGCTTCAAACAAACAGTTCTTGGGAAGCATGGGTGAAATAAAACCCAGTTGAAACTCTGCTGAAATTCAATTTTCACTCGACTCCCACAAACAGCAGAGCATGCCACAAATAAAATTTCACCCAACTCCCAGGTTGAAAAGGCACGCTAAATGCCAAAAACTCAAAAATGACAAGTCAGTCACAGAGTTGTGCATGGAACTCAAAGCCACGAGCATAAATAATATAGCTTCTTGCCCCTTCTAATGTATGGACAGTATCGAGCTGCAAATTGGGTTAATATAAGCTTGGATTGAGCTCAAACATCAAATTAGGCAATTGACCGGACTAAGCTGAACAGTGTCCTTGTTCACAAGAGATAGAAATAGACAAGCTCACTCATAGAGATTATGAATGAAGTCATCAAGTGACTTTATATTGATAGGCCTACGGAGCAACCGGTTTCACCTAAGGAACTTCAAATGTTCTTATATTAGTTCCTAATTTTCTCGCAAGAGTATCTTTGGACAAAATCTGAATTGCCCTGGAGGCTTATTCAATGAAGTGGCACAATGACAGCCTAAGAATAAAAGATGTAACCGCATTTACCAGTTTAGAAAGGGACATTCGTTGGAATACTCCAATTAAGGAAGAGTACAAAAACTACAAACAGAACATCATCCTCTCTGGAAAAACATATTAAATGTAAAAACCAAAAGAAACGAGAGCACCAAAACTAATTGAGTATCTTATCTAGGTATCTCATTCATGAAATCATTCCTACAGTCACTTTTTATGTTTCTTTTCCTGATAAAGGACTCAATCAATTGAGCAAAAGCCCAGGTCTCCAAACAGGAAGCAAAAATGCAATAACTCCACACTCAAAATAACATGACATGTCCACACAGTACCATTACAGGAAAAGGGAAAGAAGGAGCAAACAAGAGAGACATACCAGCTTGACTGGGAGCTCTGGGTCTGTAACAGAAAGAGTTAAATCTTCGTTCCACTCGGGATTCACATCCTTCTTTATAACTCTAGTCTTCAGTTTCTGCACAGGAGTAATCCACCATAACATCAACATCATCATCATTACTCGCAGATCATATAAACCCTAAAGCACCCGATCATCCCAAATGGAAGTCAGCGACCCAGATTGACTTAGACCAAACCATTTCCTCTAAATGATTCCCACCTGGGTTCTGCCCCCGAATCGGAATACAAACAGATGTAGCCTATGCAAATCAGGGGAATGAAGCAGAGAAACAAGAAAGAAGCCTCCAATCTCTAAGTACCTGTTTGCCCATTCTGACGACGCAGTAAGGGTCGCTGCTGCGAACATCGCGGACGGCGAGGTTGACGCCGCGTTTGATTCGGATACGGAGCAAACCCAGAAGGCTTTCCATGGGAGAAGCAGTTCCGTCGAGCGCGGAAGGTGAAGGAGATGATGCTAGTGGTGAGTCCGCCATTTTGACGCCGCCCCCTCGGTCTCCTTTATATGATTCGGGTTCGCCCTGGCCCTGAGGTTCTTGGTCTATTGCCTGTCTAATCAAAGCTGCAAGCAAGAAATTGAATTTTCCACAATTACTGTAATCAAATCAAATCAAATCAAATCAGCATCAATATTCAATACAGACATGTGTCCCAGTCACCCACCACCGCGCCCGGAATTAATTAATCAATTCAAATGTAATCAATTTGATCCTATCTCGTTCCTACTCATACAACCGCTACTAGACTAGTCCGTGCTTTTAGTTTTCCATGGAAACAGAAAAATCAAATGATCAAATACCAAACAATCTTTCAGAATGAACTGAATTTCAAAATAAAATGAAGTTTTTGTAGAAGAAATCGTCAACATATACGATCTTGTACGAAATACATCAATTAAAATGATAGGTTGTGAATTATATTTTTGAATGACTCGTATGCGATCTCATTATAACGCTTCGATAAATACATAAATAAAAATTTAAGATTTTTGATCAGGGTAATTCTCATTTATGTTATGGCTTCTGGGTTAGATTCTTTTCACCACTTTCATGCCGACAAAGATAAATATAAAAATGGAGATCCCACTTCCAAGTTTTTGTTTCATTTATGGAAATTCATGATTAAAAAAAAAAAAACTCTAAAGGACACAAAACTTCTTTAGCGATGAACAAGCATGAAACCTGGACGAATAGAAAGGCACCTGAATCGCTTTGCGTCCTACGATGAGCACGGCCTGGTGGCGGTGCTCCTTTATTTTTCAAACCACAAAAGAAGAACCGTTCGATGTGAAATGAAGGAGAAGAGAAATTCAAAACTTGGGAGACCGAGCCGGGGGGCTTCTTGGGTTTCAAATTTCTCCTTCTCATTGTTCTCAGCTTACAGAGTCTCCTTTTGAAGGCTTGCTTTTTGCTATAATAACTTTTATTTATTACTATTTGTATTAGGGAACAACGATTATGGTTCCTTCTCCTCCTTTTGAGTTCTGTTTTTTTTTTTCTTTTTCTTTATACAAGCCAAAGGTGGTTTCTGATTTGGTTTTTTGTTGACGCCAAATAATAGTAATTAGTCATCAACTTGTTTAATCGGTTTTTTTCTTTTATAGTTTCTGTTTTCATTTCGTTAATAGAAGCAGATAAGTTATTTAAAACAAATGAAGAAACGTAAAAAAAGCAAATAATTATCGGAAAGGGAAGAGACATTTGGTGGTCTACCGGCGTTGACAATTGACTTATCACGGTGCCGGGGAAAGCAGCAAAAGAGAGTGAGAAGAAAAAAAGGCGACATCCATGACCATGATCAAGAAGAGAGGTGGCCAGGTGGGCCACGTAACACACTAAGGCTTACAAGGAAATTCAATTTGGAAAATGGAAATTTTGAAAAATTATGATATATGAGGTTTTTGGTTTATTATGTACTTGAAAAATATTGTTGTTTTGTTTGTTTCATAGACTACTGGATAGAGTTGGTTAATTAGATTTGTATGTATCAAATGAAATCTACTTTTATTGCATTCATTGATATGAGAAGAAATAGGAAATGTCAGCAAGGAGGTTGGTCACACATAATGGACATCAAAATTCATAATCAATTACCATTTAAAGAAGTGGAATTTGAACCTTTAAAATCTGTGGATCCCACAAACTTGTTGTCACTAAATATACAAAACAAACAATGGAATTTTAACAAAATTCATGATCCAAATCCATAAAGAAAAAAGACCTCTTAAACTCTTTTGTTTAGACGTGGAATAGTCAATAACCATCAGTTGATTTTCCAAATTATATGATATTTCATAATATATTACTAATCATCTCAATATGAAATTAGGTATCTATGGCTCATACAGTTTGGTCATATCATACTTCTCTTTGACTTTTGAGATCAGATTAGTTCCAACGTTCTCTCTCTTCCTCTTCCATTTATGTGAGGCTGATAATGTTCTGTACCTCCTGTTGGGAAGCTTCTGATCGATGACCGCAGAGAGAAGGAAAGTCAGGCATATATAATTTTATTAACCATAATGGGAAAATTACATCATTCCTTTACAAATCCAGTTTATATATTGATTCAGGCCTAATTGTACACTTTTTATCAGTGCTGTGAAAACCGAGCCGAGCCGGCCGGCCGGGCCGCCAAAACCGCCAACCGGACTCAAAACCGGTTCGGATCAGCTATTTAGCCGGACTGGTTCTCTGGGGCGGCCGGCGAGCGGCCGGAGCGGTTAAACGCTCGAGCCGCTCGAACCGGTCGTCCGGTTTTTTACATCCGGCCGGTTGGTGTAATTAAAAAATAAATAAAAAACTAAAAGCCGAAAAATTAAAGGGGATTCTGGGTCGGGGTCGGGCAGAACCCTAATTCCCAAATTTCTTTCCCAATCTTCTTCTTCGTGGAGAGTCTTCTTCTTCGTGGAGAGCCTGCCCTGGAGACAAGAAGCGCCGTCGCCATCGCCATCTTCTCCAGCGCCGGCGCCATCTTCCCCACCGTCGTCGCCGTCGCCGTCGCATCAGCTTCTCGTGGTAGGCATTCGAAATCCACGACGTGGAAACCAACAACTCTTCTTCTTCTTCATCGATGTATTATTCCCCTGTTCTTCTTCTTCTACCTCCTCCAGAGTGGATTCGAGAATCGCGAGATTCGCCGCCATGAACCCGAGCTTGAAACACGGGGAGAGCTCGTACAGCAGCTGAGTTGACGCGGCGTGCTCTTTGCCGTACAGCTCCGCCACAGGCGGCGGATTCTCCGCCGGATTCACTCTCGATTTCAGCGCTAGAAACCACACGAATTCCCCTGGTCCGAATTCCATCAGCCTCTGCTCCGAATTCCCCTTTCATCCGCTAGAAACCACACGAATTCCCCTTTCCTTCGTAAATCGAGCTAGGTTTAGTATAAGCTGGACATTTGGGACTTTTGCTTGAATTGATTGTGAACTTGTTCTCGCGGTGGATGTAATCTGATTGTGAACTTGTTGGAATAGTTAGCAATTTGGTGATGGTTTAGTCCCTGTCCCATTTAGAAGCTAGAATAGTTAGCAAATTGGTGATGGAATTGTTGGGAATAGTTAATATACAGTTGACTGTTTATTAGGTACCGGTTCTCAAACGGTTTTTAAACGGTTTAATGCCGGCTGGACCACTAAAGATCGAGCCGTTCATGTTTCCGGGTCGTACTCCGGTTCGGTTCTGACAACATTGCTTTTTATCCCCGTTTCTCTTTGATGTTTGTAGCAATTGAGCTCCAAAAAGGGTGGTTTTATGCTAGGTTTCTTGCGTTTCAATGTGTTTCAGAGTCTAACAGGTGAAACCAACCACGGAGTCGAAAGTTGGAAGAAAATGAGCAAAGACAAGGCAAAGAGGAGGATTCATTGATGTTCACGGTCCAACCTTGGAGTTAACGGTCGCCAGGATCGTGAACTGGAACCACAACCCATGAACAGCGAAGCGTTCAGAGGGGTTTTTGAGGTTACTGACGCCAAGGCAGTTCACGGTCGCTAAAGACCGTGAACTGTAACCACAAACCGTGAACCCCAGAAGTGAAGCGGTGCATTTTGATCCAACTCACTAAGTTCACAAACGCGTTCTGATGTTCACGGCCGTGAACTGGGCACAATCTGGGTATAAATGGAGAGCTGAAAGGAAGAAGAAGGGAGAGCCCAAAGTGAGAGAAACCTTCTTCTTCTTGAAACCGTAGGGAGAGAATGTCATGGACCAAGAGGGAGAAGAGGCTAGGATTTGCTCCAAGTGAAGATTTTGGAAGTTCCTCTTCTTTGGAGGATCTCTACAAGCACAAGGAGAGTTGGAGGCATCACAATGATGGTTTCTTTCTATCTCTTTTGTGTTCTTTCTTTGTCTAGCATGGAGTAGTTTCTCTTTTCACTTGGGTGTTGTAGAACCCTAACTACTATCATGTAATTGATTGTGTGGATTGAATGATTGTGTGATGGTGGTGTTTAATTTAAGGATTGAGGTATTTTTCATGGTGATTGTGCAGTGTGTGTGCTTGGCAATCTATTGTGCTATTCTAACCTAGATTAGAGAGAAGCCCCCTTATCTTAAGAGGCTCTAATTGAGCTGGGTTTTCTTGGGCATTCCATGCCTCCTAACTAGGTTAATGAAGGACAAACCTCTACTTGAATTAGACACCTAGGTTAATTGTGATTATGCCGTCCAAGCTTTGGCTTGAGGGAGAAGGTAAGTCAATCCTCAATTGCTTGTGCCAAGAGGGCTACAATTGTAGCCTCTAATGCTTACCTTGGCCTATCAATTGAGAGGATGGTTTCTAACCATTGTTGCACCTCCTACGGGTCACAATTGCCTTGTCACACACCGATTCATTCGATCCGACGGTTCATGGTAGTTAGTTAGGGATTACCAACTCATGTCTGGAATCTGGATACCGGTAAGTAATTACCAACTCTCATATGTCCGCTTGTACAATTCAACATAGTGGATTCACCGTCCTCATAATCAATCACAATGTCAGAGTTTGTCACCCTTCCATTCCACCAAATATTAAGCTGAAACTTCTTGAATTTACCCATATCTACAATTTACAATAAGTAACTATTAGCTTAATTCCAATAAAATTAACCAAAACCATATTGTACGACTAATATTACTCCATCTCATAACTAACAACAACATAAATTCCCAACTAACATAACATATTTGCTACGATAAGTAATTCATTGCATAAATATAACTACTAAAAACATCATTATATAACAATACAAAATTAAATCATACAGAAAAATAGCTTATGTGTATTTTGATCGGTTTTTTTTGCTGAAATTTGAAGAGGAAGGGGGGTTACGTTTTTCCAACTGCTCGTGGGGGTATTTATATGAAAATCGGCCAGCATTCACCGCGTTTGTCAACAGCGGTGAAGTCAGTCACCGTCTTGCCCTAAGGCGGTGAACATTAGGTCATTGCGACCTAACTCTCACCTACCAGGGGTGGGAAACGTGGGCAACTATCACCGCTCTAAACTACAGCGGTGAAGGTGTTCACTGCTTTGCACAAAGACGGTGAAGGTGATTGCTTCACCGTTTAAGTAAAACGCGGTGAACCTTTCACCGCTTTTGATAAAAACGGTGATTACTTCATCGTTTTCATTAAACGCGGTGACTTATTTACCGTGTTTGTCTAACACGGTGATAGCATTCACTTCCTTAGACAAAGACGGTGAATGTGAAACATGTGTAGATTGGGAATTTTTTTTATAACTTATGTATTTTGGGAATTTTTTTTAATTACATGTGTATGTTGAGATTTTTCCCGCGCAACAATACCTTTGTCACTGTGACCGATCCCAGCGGAAACACCTTGATCGGAGGGCTGAAAGCTTCATCTGGGATGGTGCCGAAGCTATCTCGTTATGTAGCCGAAGCAACGTCGGAGCATGTTGGAAGGAAGGCCAGAGATGGGGTTGTGGTGAAGGTGAATGGGTTTTCTTTGTTCAAGAAGAAGAGGCAAGCGATCATGAGCTTCAAAGAGGGGTTCGGGAACTCTATAGACTATATCGAAGATACTACGCGGAAGCCACATTATAATGGATGCAGGCTCCCGAAGAAGCGCAGAATCTAGGACATCAGTATGGGTGTCATGCTTGGACTAGCAGATGTTGCTCGACCATGGCAATTGAATGGTGGGGAAGGGTACATGATGTTGTTAGTCCCTGGTGTTGAAGTATTTAAAGTTTGTGTACCTGCTTGTAATTAGTCAGGTGAGTTTGTACATATAAATATGTAACCTGTATCACGAAAAACCCTAACGCAAATAAGAGTTTACCCTTGGAGAGTTCTACCTCTCCCGTGGACTATTCCTGATCTTCAGGGAAACCACGTTAAATCTTTGTGTTCTTTAGCTTATCGTATACAAATTGACATGGTATCATAGCCCTGATCCGTTCGTTTGAGGGTTTTGTTTGCGGCACGTTTGTCTACAGCTCTGGTGGTTGGGTTCTTGCGTTTGGCGGGCTGGATTTGATTTTGTTTTGCTGCGTTGGGATTGTGCAAGGCTCTTTTTTGGATTTTTGTTCGGCTGTATTGGTGCCTACTGATTCATTCTTTTGCTGAGTTTTGGACGCGTTTGTTCACGGTGTTCTTTTGGAGCTCGGTTGCAGCGGCTGTTGTTCGCTTGCTTTTGGCTGCTTCTCGGACTGTGTTTGGCGTCTCCCTTCAGGAAGTCTCCCTTGGCTGGGTTTATTGTTCGTCCTTTTTTGGTCCAGCATTAGGTATGGATACTTCAAAGCTTGATTCCGGTTCCATTAAGTTTGATGGGATGAATTTTCCCTTGTGGGAGTTTCAGTTTCGAAACTTCGTTGCCGGGAAACGTTTGCTTGGGGTTTTGACAGGGGAGATCAAGGCTCCCTCGGCAGAGGCTGATGCAAAGGAGCGTGCAGATTGGGAGGCCTCCAATGCACAGCTTATCACTTGGTTGGCAGGTTGTGTCGATGTTCCCACGGCTCTGGGATTGCGTCGGTTTCGTACGGCGGCTGAGATGTGGCGTCACTTGACTGCTATGCACTCTCAGACTAGCGTATCTCGTCAGTTTGAACTTGAAATTGAGATTGGCAGGCTAGCTCAGGGTGATCAGGATATTCGGGGGTTTTATCAGGCTAGTATGCATCTATGGACATAATGTGATATGTTGACTGCGTCTCTTGTTACTGGGGCTGAATCGGAGGTCATTGTTGCTGAACGTAGTCGCACCCGGGTTATGCAGTTTTTGTCAAAGCTACATCCTGAATTTGAAGCTATCCGAGCTTCTCTTATTCATCGTGGAGTTACTACTATGGATGAAGTTCTTGGGGAATTAGTTTGCGAAGAGACTCGCCTCCGGAGTCAAGCAAAGCTTGATACTGCTAGCTCCGCTGAATCCGTGTTCGCTGTTGGCCGCGCCGGTTCTTCCACTCGGCCTCAGTTTTCTCGTCAGTCCTCTGGGGAAGTTGTGTGTCATTTTTGCCGCGAGGCTGGGCATCTGCAGATTCATTGTAAGAAACGTAATTTTTGCAACTACTGCAAAAAACCGGGGCATATAATCCTGGAATGTCCGACTTTGAGTCGTCGGGGAAAATTGCGTCCTCCGCCTGGTGGGTCTTCTTTGCCCGCAGCGTATGCTGTGGTGGGTACGGGAGTTCAGCCTGCACATCCTGGTCCTACAGCTTCTTCACCGCCGCTGGGATCTTCTTCTACGCCGCCTTTGTTTTCCCCCGACCTAGTCCGTAAGCTTGTTCAGGAGGCACTTCAGGAGGCTTTACCAGCTGCTCTTACATCCGCGTTCTCTACGGGTGCTGCACCAGGTAATTCTATTCGATTGCTTCTAGATTCAGCGGCTTATAATCATATGACCCCTGCTCATAAAACTTTTACTCAATTACGTCGAGCACCGCGCATTCAGCTTCAAGTTGCTAATGGGGCTCAATTGTCTGTGGCGGGCTGTGGCACTTCTTCTTCTGGTCCTGTGACACTTGCGGACGCTATGCTTGTTCCCGACTTGAAACCCAGCTTGGCCTCTGTGGGACAGTTGGCCGAGGCTGGCTGTGAGGTGACGTTTAATGCTAGTGGTTGTCTTGTGCAGGACCGGAGGACGGGGAGGGTCCTAGGGAGAGGCAGTAAATGCGGTCGTGTGTTTGTCCTTAATGAACTGCAAGCATCAGAGGAAAGTGGAATGGTCCAGGAGGGGCATAAAGAAGTCGAAGTTGCTGCTGTCCAGAAGAGTCAAAATGGGGTCGAAGTTGTTGCCGCGGGCGCTGCTGGAAGTCCACTTGCGGCCAAACTTCATTTGTCTAATAATGAGGATGAGAGTATGTTGGATAGGGATATTGAATTTAAGGATATTGGTTTTTCTGTGAGACCTTTGGATTTTTCTATTAAGGGTTCAACATGGGATTTATGGCACTATCGTTTGGGACATCCTCATTCAGCTCGGTTACACTCAATGTTTCGTCAGAATTTGTTACCAGATAAATATGATTCATCGTCGGTATCTCATTCGCCGTGTGTTAGTTGTATTGAGGCAAAAACTTCACAGATATCTTTTACCTCTAGTGAGACGGTTTATGAGAATCCGTTTGATCTGGTTCATACAGATCTTAAGGGCCCGTCACCGGTTACAGCTCGCCTAGGTTATCGATACTTCGCTCTGTTTATAGATCATGCTACCAGATTTTCTTGGATCTTTTTTCTTAAGCAGAAATCGGATCTGGCATCTTTGGCGAAAGAGTTTGTTCAAATGGTTAAAACTCAGTTTTCAAAGACCATTAAGATTATTATATCTGATCCTGGAGGCGAGTTTACGTCAAACGACCTGCTTGCGTTCTATAAGAATGAAGGAATCTTGCCTCAAGAATCATGTCCTGGTGTTTCACAGCAGAATGGACTTGCAGAACGTAAGCATCGTCACGTTCTTGAGTTAACTCACGCACTATTATTTCATTCTGGTGTTCCTTGCCGGTTTTGGGTAGAGGCAGTTCAAACAGTTGTTTACCTGATTAATCGACAAATTAAACCGGTTTTGGGTCAGTGCTCTCCGTATCAGATGCTGTTTGGAAAGATGCCTAACTATTCTGCTTTACGGGTTTTTGGATGTGTGTGCTTCGTGTTACTTCCTCGCAAAGAACGTCATAAGTTGGCTCCTAAGACTGCTCGGTGTGTGTTCGTAGGATATAGTACAAAGCACAAGGGTTATTTATGCTATGATCCGGTGGATCCTCGGATGCGGATTGCGTGTCATGTTGTTTTTTTGGAGCAGGTAATGTATTACTCAACGAACCGGGATGCATTACCTGAGGAGTCCTTGGATTTTTTGCTGCCGTTGCCTTTGTTTGAATCCACTCCACCTCAAGACATGCATGCAGCCACGTCCAGCAGCACGCCCCAGCTCACAAGTTCACATTCTTCAAGTTCTTCCTCGCCTGGTCCCAATTCTTTGTCCCCGCACAGTCCTTCACCTACGACCAGCTCGGTCATGATGTCTCCATTCGTTGCTAGCAGCTACGGCTCGCACTCGTCGTCATCAAGTGGCGGGTCTTCCTCCTCGTCGCACCCTAGCGAGCTCCAGCTGTCTCCTCCCTCGGAACCACCATTGGTTCCCCTTCGCCGTTCTCATTGTGCAAATTTGGGGCAACCGCCCATAAGAATGCAGGACTATGTTGGTTTTTCGGCCATGCCCATCATCATTCCCACTTGTTATGCTGAAGCAAAGGGTGACCCACGATGGGAAGGGGCCATGGCGGAGGAGACTGCGGCTCTTGATGCCAATCATACCTGGGATCTTGTTCCCCGCCAGCCAGGTATGATAGTGATTGGTAGCCGTTGGGTCTATAATGTGAAACAATTGTCTGACGGTTCGTTGTGTGTTTGTTGTGGCTGCTATGCGTGGATGGCCGTTACTTCAGCTGGATGTCAAGAACGCCTTCCTTCATGGTGACTTGAAGGAAACTATCTATATGGAACGTCCACCTGGGTACACTAAAGGTGATTCGAGCATGGTTTGCAAGCTGGTACGGTCGTTATATGGCCTTAAACAGGCACCGAGGGCTTGGTTCGATAAATTTCATGGCACTGTAGCTCAGGGAGGGTTTGTGCAGAGTCAGAATGATCCCTCCCTGTTCATTCGCAATACAGTTGATGGGATTATAGTCTTGTTGATATATGTTGATGACATGGTAATCACAGGGAGTGATGCGCAGGGGATACAAGAGCTGAAGGACTCGTTGCATCGGTCCTTTAATCTTAAGGATCTAGGAAATGTTGAGTACTTTCTGGGTCTGCAGGTAAATCGCTCCGCGCATGGTATATTTGTGTCATAGAGGAAGTACATAAATGACTTGTTGACTACGGCCAGGTACAGTGAGAGTGTTCCAGGTTCGACGCCCATGGAGCAGAACTTGAAGTTGACTCGGGAGAGTGGTGATTTGCTGGACGAGGATAGACAGTCCATATACCGTAGTGTGGTGGGCAGTCTGATTTATTTGACACACAGTCGCCTTGATATTTCGTATGCTGTGCAGGTTGTCAGTCAATATTTGGGAGTAGCCAGGACCATGCATTTTGAGGCAGTTCATAGACTGCTAAGGTATTTGAAACAAACTCAAGATGTGGGGATGTTCTTTCCAGCATCAGGTGACCCAGTGATCGATGCGTTCGCCGATGCAGACTATGCTGGCTATAAAGACACCAGGAGATCGACTTCGGGTTGGTGCATTCGTGTAGGCAGCTCATTTGTTTCCTGGAGGTGCAAGAAGTAGGATCGAGCATCAAAATCTTCTACAGAGGCAGAATATCGCTCTATGTCTGAAGTGAGCTCGGAAATGGTATGGTTGCATCGGTTGCTTGGTGAGTTAGGCATGGAATGTCGTCGGCCTATGCGTATATTTGGTGATAACACCAGTGCGATACAGATTGCTATTAACCCGGTGTTACATGACAGGACGAAACATATTGAGGTGCATGTCCATTACATTCGGTAGTTGATCGCAGAGGGTTTGATACAGGTTGGATTTCTATCGACTGAAGATCAGACTGCAGATATCCTAACTAAAGCGTTGGCTTCAAGCAGGCATTGGTTCCTCTCTTCCAAATTGATGTTACGCACCCTACATCAATTTGAGGGAGGGTGTTGAAGTATTTAAAGTTTGTGTACCTGCTTGTAATTAGTCAGTCGAGTTTGTACATATAAATATGTAACCTGTATCACGAAAAACCCTAACGCAAATAAGAGTTTACCCTTGGAGAGTTCTACCTCTCCCGTGGACTAGTCCTGATCTTCAGGAAAACCACGTTAAATCTTTGTGTTCTTTAGCTTATCGTATACAAATTGACACCTGGATGTAATGTAATAGATCTGCGCTGCCCATTCTTATGCTCTTCTGGGTGGTGATTTCTTCTATGTTATTAAGCCATATAATAGATAGCAATACACGTTTTGTTATATTTTTGGATTTGTGGTTTTTGGAGTTTGTAGTTAATATATAGCAAGTATTCAAAAAAAAAATTTTGAAAATCAAAGTACCAATTCGTAGCCATGCATCTCTAAATTGAAAGCTATCTCAAAGTGGAAAAAATAAGATTCTTATATAAAAGCCACACTTCTAAGCTTACTATTTATTAAGTGGTTATTTCGTAAATAAACCCCAACTTGAGGGGTATTCTTGATGGAGGACACATGTTATTGTTGAAGGAGTACACATGGCAAGAAGAAGAACATTAGTTCATTAATTAATCTTTTCAATTTTATTTCTGTATTTCTCTTTTATTTTATTTTTCTACACTCTCTTCTATTTTGTTTTATTAATATCTTCAAATACGAGTTACTATTCGTTAAGCGTATTGTAATTCTACGAAACTTTAGTGTCATTAGGTTTATGTCCATTAAACGATAAAACCACAAATAACTTCAACACTTAGGATTACTAATTCATTAAGAGGGATTTTGTAATTTTCATAAACTTTAGTGACGTTACACTAAACTCACATATTTGCAAAATTTTCATTTATTTTTCTATTTTCCCTTCATTTGCAAGTACACATATATTTATCTCATTTATCTTTTTTCCATTTCTTTTAATCACATATGGCCTATAAAAACCTTTTAGCAATCCTCTTTTTTTATTTTTTTCACTTTATCCTTTGTTTTTGCTATCCTTAAATCGAAATCTTTGTTCGTATTTGACGCATATTCTGGCGATGTGTATTTCATTTTTCAATTCTTATTTATGACATTTTTCTTAGGTTTTTTACTATTCAACTAAATGTAGATCGATCACGCGAATTCGGGTCATGTGTATATCGGTAAAACATTTTACAATCTTTTTTAGTTTTCCGTCTATTCAACTAAAGATCCCCTGATTACACGTATTTCAATCACGTGTAGTACTCATTGAAGAAAAAGAGAACCACATTAATGATTTTCAAAATGTGTTTGTTGTTCCCCAATCGGTACCTATTCATTGGCCAACGAGATGGCAATCAAATCCATGGCCGCGGGTATCCGACCGCCCCCGACCCAGTCAACGCGGGGAATCCCCGCTTTGACCGGGTATGGGGCGGGTATGGGTAAAACCTGCAAAAAGTTTGATGGATATGGGGCCGGTATGGTTTTAGCCTCCCCCGCCCCATACCCATCACCATACCCGCCCCACCAAGATAATTTCTTCATATATAAAAAAATATGTGCGTCAAATTATAATCTATCAATGATGATGCGGATAACTTGAGAAAATAAATAGTAGAAATGCAATTGAGTGGACACCTTAATCAAAACCTAATTCATTTCTCTCAATTCTCATTTCACTCTTTCACTTTCCCCCTTGTCAACAAGATTATGTTAGTTAATTATTATTTAGTAGATGTATCAAAGTTAGAACATAATAATTTGAAAAATATTATACTCTATATTATATATTAATGGATATTTTAGGATCATATTCTTTGAACCATATTAAAGAAATGACCGTGTTTTGTTGACTTCATGATATAATATGTTCGTTTAGAGTTATAATTAAAACTTTTCTTGTAAGTTTTAGGTATAATAATGTTGGATGTACGGGTATGGGTATTACCCATGGGTATCCGAAACCCACGGGTATGGGGATGGGTTTGCAAAACATTCCCCGCATGGGGTATGGAGCGGGTATGGGTTTGGGTATTTGAAGATGAGTATGGGGATGGTTTAGACAAACCCGCCTCAAACCCGCGCCATTGCCATCCCTACGGCAACGAGTCCATCTTTTATTGTTTGCTTCACCTTATTGCAAAATGTGCTTTCTCGGTTCCTGTTTAGCTGTTTAGTTGTTCCTATTCATCAAATGAGAGTTAGGTCTGCATTTTTTTAGGTTTGTGTTCTTTACAGATTAGTTTATTCTCTCTTACAATCATATGTAACCTTTCTCATAACTCGCTTTACGTGAAGCGTAGCGAACGGGCATATCTAGTTGTTTATCAAAATAACCGAACTAAGAAATACCTTATATAAACCTGCAAGTTTGTAACTGTTTAAGAAGTTTAGGTCGCAAAAGTCTCCATTATCGATAGTATGACCAAGAAAGCTTCGTGCTATGATTTGTACCTCATGCCACTTTGTTACGGTCGAACCTCATTCAACATGTTAGCAAACACGAATAGTAGCCACCGGTGTCTCTTCTAGTTCCTGTCCAAAAACACATATAAGGGGAAGAAGGATACTTCAGTATCGGCATGATAAGATAATGCCAACACAGAATCCACGCCTTCAAAGATTCTACATTCAATCTTAGTTTGTTTTGTAAACAAAATTTCAGCATACAGAAACTTTGGCTCCCTCTCGTGTCAGCTCCCACCCCATGGCTCAAGCCACATGCAGCCATAACAATCATCTCGAAACTCTTCTCCCTCGTAATAATACTGTTAAAAAATGGGGAAAAAAAGAATTCAATCTACTCCTTTACTTTTGACTGTGCAAAACTGTCGTGGATAGTTCGATGATGCAACCTAATTTTGCCTTTTTCGTTCTGCAATGTGGCGAATGCAACGCTAGCCTGCTCTTTGCACAAAATTTTCTCTACTCCGATCACTCTACCGAGAAAACTTTCTCAGTCTTTCTGCAGAAGCTGCTGCCCTCTTATTAGTTGGTTCAAGCACCAAGGCATATCGGAAATCTGCAAACAACATTGGAGTATATAAGCCAAGGGAGAAATGATGAACAACATTATGGGGTGGACGACTGGAACATCAGATAGCCAAAACTGACCTTCGATTGCCTCTTTATAATAACCAAGCATCTCTCTTGCTGTGCCTCTTCTCAAATATGCCTTCACGTTCTGCCCAATGAGAAATGAAATGAATCCATCAACGGTTTTGAGGTATCTCAAAGGCCATTCACAGAAAACACCATGCAACTAAAATTCAACATGATTATGCCAGAATGCAACTAGTTTTTATACGTCATATGTTAGAATGGAACTTGGACTAGGGAACATTAAATCCTATAGACCAAAGTGTTTATAAAACTAGGAGGCCTGCTGATCTAAAATTAATCTGAAAAGCAACTAGAGCATCTATCAGAATTGAAGGAAAACCGGAACTAAGGCCCACAAATAAACTAAAGCCACCACGTGGGAAACTCAATAACCTCAAGCTAAAAGCTCTGTATGCACATAATGCAATAGAAGCCAAGTGCCAATCGATAGACCACTTGAATGGTCAGAGGCTGAGCTAGCTGCGGAGAAAGAATCAGTAACCAATAAGATATTACCTTTTTGTCAAGGTCGATAGCTTTCGAACAATCATCCTCGGCTTGGTGAAAGCTTCACAACAAGAACCTTTATAAGCCCACGAAGAAGTAAAAAATCCACAATGCTCAACAAAAACAATAGCTTCCAAGATCACCCAAGTACCTCGTAAGTTCAAGATAAGCTGCAGCTCTGTTGCTGTAGTACGTTGCATTTCTGTCATTAAGTTTAATGGCTTCTGTATAATAACCAACTGCCTTTTGCCATTGCCTATCTTTGAATGATTGGTTTCCCTAATGGTCAATGAAGCAATAGTTAGCATAAACTTTGCACTGGGAACACACACATATAAGCACTTGAGAAGTTAAATGATCTTTGTATATGGAAAAGGTTTACGAGAAACCTAGTTGACTTATTATTATGAGTTCCTACATGGTAGACTCTGGGTAATGACCAGAAGAGAAATCTATAAATCTTAAAATTCCCTCTGCGCATTTATTAGAAGTGAGACCAGCTGAATGCAATGAGTTGTGCTATCAGTGTAGCAAAATAACCCAATTTAAATAACATGCAAAATATAGGCAGGTGTGCAGGTTGTACTCTTAATATGCCGCCAATAATTACACTAAAAGTTCAAAAGCTTCCAAAGAAGTTATGTCTGGAAACACTGTGTAAAAAATCATCGAATATTATGCAAAGACAGTACCGTGTCAATGAAAATTTTGGATTACAAATGCATAGATGTCAAATTTACAAACACCGAGGGACAATTATGTGCATATTCTAATACACCCAATTAGCATCTAATTTTAAAAAATAATTACCTTTTCCTTAGCCACCTCTGCAGATATTTCTGGGTATCCCGCACGACCAGATTGATTTGATGTAGCAAGAACATCGGCTTGCTCTTGTAGAGATGTATACATGCTCAGCAATGTGTCTAGTAGAAAGCGATCTCCCCCCTGTCGGGCTATGAAAGAAACTGAAGTAGGACACTTGTCATGGCTCCCCAATGGAATTGTGACCTGGTACATTAAAAGATGCAACCCACTTAAATAGCTATCTAGTGAAAAGAGGAAGAAGAAAATATTATAGATAAGGTAAAACACAATGAATTCAACTGACAATGCATTTGGGTCCCTGCATAAGTTATTGCTCCTAGGTGTCAGCCTGAGGCCCCTTGTAAGTAGGTGTGATATGCAGACAAACATAGCACAGATCTTTTACCTGGCAACAGCCGGAGAGGCTAGCAAGACTTAGCAGGCTAAATGAACGTAGCATGTAGTCCTCTGAGAGCAGCTCTTTTGCATTGAGTTTAGGAGGATGAGCAAATGTTGTTGGGATCACAAGAATTCCATCATCCTGTAATAAGAAAACAATTCAAACTAAGCATAAACAAACAAAGTGACAGCAACCAAGTGTACAAACAAAGTGTACAAACAATAAACACAAGAAGAACAGCATATGCATGTTCTGGTCCATAAAAAATTGTGAAATTCCCAAACAATTACCTCACCTTCCAACTCATAGGCACCTGCCAAAGGAACCTTTTGGTTTCTGTAGCAAAAGCAGTTTTGATCTAACTTTGAACAACTTAAATAGACCTTTCACTAAAGTTGACTCCCCGAGCAGTTTAAAAAGTAATTTTCTGACACTATTTTGAATATCAGCCAAGAATATGATGATATTTGCAGATGCCAAAGTCATGCTAGTACACAGCATGATGGAATAAGTTTGGAAGTAGATTTACAAGTTAAAATTCACCTTAAGGAGAGTGTTGATGGCTGCACGCATTTCATTTCTAACAGATCTGTATTTTTCAATTTCCGTATCTGAAATCTCTCCTGCATCATTCAAATGAGCAGAGATAAGAGGATCAAGGACAGGCTTTTCCATCTTCAACCACTCCTCGTGAATATCACTGAACTCATACCTGTTAACATGAAAAAACATCACTGCATCTAGATTATACGAAAGATGCAAATCAAGAGGCAGAGAGTACAAATATTGCTCATATGCAACGCCAGAGAAAACAGATAAGGGAAAGAAGAGCAGTGAGAAATGGAAGGAAAGAGAGCGCACTGCAAAGCATGACAGAGGAGAGAGAAAAAGAACACTGGACGGGCAAGGATCAAACAAGTATAAAATATTTGATAAGCTCACATGAACCATGAATTTTGCTTCTTATATTTCGAACGCCCTTCAGCACAAACACCAGGTATGCATAACAGACATAAAGGTTTAGAAGAAGCAGAATTAGAGGTCCGGTCTAACAAGAGATGTACATGAAACTTACTTTGCATTAGAAAATTGGGCCACAACTTTATGCAAAAAATTAGCGGCCTGGGACTCACTTAACAGGTGGAAATCAACTTGAAGATGGACAGAAGGAAGGAAGAGAAAGAAAAATTTAGATTGGAGTGATGAAATAAATGATTGTAACCAATTACATAGAAACATAAAAAAAAAACCCAATTCTGCAGAACATTTTGCAGATAGAATAAGAAGAAGAGAGGAAGACGGGTTATTTACATTGAATACCCGCCCTTTCACACTCCACGGGCCATCACTTCCTCTAACAGTGCAAACATCGATAACTTTGTATGTCACGGAAATCAGCAAAACCAGAGAAGCATAAAACAGCTGCATTTCTAGAAACATCAATAGAAATACCTAGAATACATCACCCCATAAAAATACAAAGCATACATACAGCAACAAGATGAGGATTGGACCATGCAGACCTTCATCAATTTATCCATAACAGAACCTTAGTTGCAATGTAAGATAAGATTGCTCACCTATGAAGAGCCTGCATAATATGTGCTAGCATTCCCAGTGAAGAAGTTTTGACTTTAGAATCTGATTTGTTTGTAAGAATCTTTTTCAGGCTTGGAACATTAGAACACAGAAACTCCTCAAGAATTTCATGCTTCAACGCTTGTCCTACAGAAATTTAGCCAGTTCAAATATTAGGACAAGCAAAACAAGCATTTGTCAAAACAGAAAAGAGCAATCAAGTAGAGAAAGTTGAATCTATCAGGTAGAAAGAATCAGCACGTACTTCCAAAGAGCTTCACAGTAGATGTTATCAATGCCTGAGCAAGCTTGTCAAACGGAATCTTGAATAGTTCAAAACAATCATCAGCTATTATAATTTGTCGGGGTTTACGTTGAACTCCAAATGGAAGTTGCAAGAGCACATGGCCGACACGCCTCAAAACATCAGGATCACTGGCAAACAATCCTGCAAGTTCATTCAAGAAAATCATCACCATAAACTCAGTTACTTGGTGCTAATAGCTTATAAAAGGCAGTGTAGTCAACAAGTACAACTGTCATGCACAGTAACAATATTTGTTGTGTGGTCAGACCACCACACTACCCACTCACTAGCTTGCGTTGGAAGTAACATACACAAAAGAATACTATACAAAACTAAGTCGCACCTACCTGCATTTGCCAACCTGGAAGCCGACCTAGGTCAAATGCGAGCCAATAGGCAATAACATAACTACCAAATACTTGAGCCAAGATGAGAACTATACAAAACTAAGTCGCACCTACCTGCTTTTGCCAACCTGGAAGCCGACCTAGGTCAAATGTGAGCCAATAGGCAATAACATAACTACCAAATACTATAGCTGAGATGAGAACTATCATGATAAATCATTAAGAAATCTTCAGCAAGTATATTTATTAAAGGGCAAAGTACTCTATGAATCAGAGGTTCTCTGAATACCAGATGCAAGTTGAGGCATTAAACAGAAGCTTCAGACAAACAAAAATGCCAAACCAAGTATTAAACTGGTAAAAGAGGGGCAGGGGAAGGGATGAGGGGGTTACTGATTATCAACCTTAAACCTAGGCATAAAGCATACGATCAATATAAAGTATACATAAATCTTCCAATTTCATATCTGTTTCCAATCCCTCATCCACAGTGAGCCACACTTACATCCAAACAACCTTTAAATAAGCATAAACTCTCAGTTATCAAACCTAAGCATACTAACTACTACTTCTAATATGTCTGTCCTGACCAATGTGGATCCTAAAAGAACATGACTTCTGGTCAAAGGAAAAGTTGCAAAATACCAAGCCATAGCAGATATGAATGATATTGAATGGAGGAGACTAGTGAAAGTATGTCTGCCCATAATTACCATCTAAAGCAAACTTACAGCTTAATCGATTTCCATTCAGGATTAAAGCATATTTTTCCAATTATAGTTCTAGCAGGTCTATTATCTAGGTTGTGGAGTGACAACAGTAGAGTACACTTACACGACAGCAGAATGATTTTGCAAAATATTACATACCTACTGTATCAAGGCTAGGTGAAATGGTTAACATTCCCATGTTTGAAAGAGCACCATATGACGGCCGGAATCCTATGATCCCACAAAACGCTGCAGGTGCTCTTACACCACCATCTGTATCAACCCCTGTAATAACATTTGTATACAAGCAAACACATGAATTAGTGAATTAGTATATACGACCAGCAGAATCGACTTAGTTCCCCACCTAATTTCACCTTCCTATTGCCAAGACAGTGGACACAAGGAAGCAGCAAGAGAAACCATAACATGTCCAAACGGAAAATAACCCAAGAGGGCTTGATTGACTGAACAAACCATCTAAATATACCTAAACACACAACTCTATTGACCACGAGAATTAGTGTTTCATACTTGCACCACACATCCACAAATAAGAATCCAACGACGACAGAAAAATGCAAAATTATAATGAGCGCTCATGGGAAATATGTGGCTTACCCAATGAAAAATCAACAAGCTTAGCTGCTACAGCGACAGCTGCTCCACTAGAAGATCCACCGGGAACACGGTCAGGAGCCACAGGATTGGTAGGTGTACCATAATGCCTATTTTCTCCATTGATACTGATATCAAGCATTCCAAGAACAAACAGCACCCATAAATAATAAATAAAATCCAATCTTGGGTGAGAACGAACAAAAATCAAGAGTTCAAGTGGCCACTGAAGGAAGATGATAAGAATTTTGAAGTTCAACATGAATACATTCCCTTAGACTAGGGCTGCACCAACAGTAATGATACTTAACTGGGCACAGACCAGCAGGACATACCTATAAGCCAGTTCATCAACAACAGTTTTTCCTACACAAGTGGCACCACCGTCAACAAGAGTTGAAACCACGACTGCAGTCTTAGAGGCCACGCCATGTGTACTTGCCCAATCAGGATGTCCACAACCAGTGACAAATCCTTCAATGTCAAATCTGATAATTATAGTTAAAGAGCTTTAGAGGTCCAAAATGAAATAATAAAAAAGGAGAGACAGACTACAAAACTAAGAAAAAAATCGAGTAATTCAGAGGTTCATATCTCATACAATTTCAATGAACTACCAGTACTCTATCCACCAAGCGGCCACCAAAGGAACAACCAATCTCACAATTGGAAAGAACCAACTAAAGCATTAACAAGTTACTATAACAGAAGCAGCAATAAACACTGTGAATGTTCATATTCCTTGCAATTCAACCTAGCCTACTTCCGTAGCACGGAATGCAGGATTGAAAACAAGCCGAACAAAATTCCTTTCCAATTCCTCCAACATTACGAGCTGCCAAACCTCTCCAGAATAAGTTGAAAACCTCTTCGTTCAGCTTCTCTTTCTCCGAGAATCACAATTCCGGTGCAAACAATCAAACAGAATGGAACAGGAAAGTAGTGAAGAACAGTAAGAATTACACGTCGGAAACGGCAAAGGTGAGGTCGGTGAGCGGATGGCGAGCTTTGGGGGGAGCAGGTTGAGGCGGGGGGAGGAGTTGAAGCTTCTGGACAAAGGCACCGAAGTCTTCCCGTACAGCTCTCTTCAACTTTCTGGTAAGTAGCAGAATCCCGGCCAGACCGAGACCAAGTAGAACCAAGATATTGGCCCGTGTAGATGGAGCAGTAGATGACGACGAAGAAGTGGAAACCATTGTTGTTAAGCCCATGGGAACAGAACCAAAAACAAGAAAATTATAATAAACCCTAGAATCGGAGAAGGATGGGGTTTTAGGGTGGCGGAGGAGAAGGAGCAAGAGGGGCGGCTAGGATAGACTTCGGAGCGACTCCTTGTTTCCAAGACGCAGCTTCGAGCAGCGAAACCTTTTCAGGTTCAGCCTTCAGCGGCATTTCCCCTCCCTCATCTTCTTGGGCACGGGCGGTCTTTCTTTCTAGACACTGGGAATTAACCGATGGGGTCTTTCACTCTTTCTGGCTTCTTGAGCTAAATAGTAGAAACGGCCACAACACTTCTATCCCAGTTTCTGTTTGGTCACTTTTTAAAACTGAATGGCTATTTGTTTACCACTAAAAAAATCACTCAATACCACATTGATTATTTTCAAGGAGTGGTAGTGATTTATAAGGCCAGCTCAACATTAATGATTAAAAGAGCTAGCTGGACCTTGTTGGATTGGGTTTTTGGGCCTAAGTGGCCAAACCCCTTCTTCTCTATACAATGGTCGACCCGTCTCCGTGGTCTCCATAGTCGGACGATGCCTCCACCCCTTGGTATGAAATTTGACTAAGTATGGAGACCCAACCACAAGGGGGGGGGGGGGGGGTCATGCATGACCTCGTCCAAGGAGGTCTCGTCAAAGGGGGTCAAGCATGATGTCATGCAAAGGGGTCATCGCGCTAGACCGTGACGGGAAAGAAGGCGAAAATTGGCTAAGTGTTGAGCCTCATTGCACAAGGGGGGTCATGCATGACACCGTCCAAGGTAGGGATGGCAACAAAATCCGAACCCACGGGTACCCACCCGACCCAACCCGGTCAACGCGGGTAAAATCCGTGTTGACGGTTTTTGGGTGGGGCGGGTCATGCATGACCTCGTCCAAGGAGGTCTCGTCAAAGGGGGTCATGCATGACATCGTCTCAGAGGGGTCAAGCATGATGTCATGCAAAGGGGTCATCGCGCTAGACCGTGACGGGAAAGAAGGCGAAAATTGGCTAAGTGTTGAGCCTCATTGCACAAGGGGGGTCATGCATGACACCGTCCAAGGTAGGGATGGCAACAAAATCCGAACCCACGGGTACCCACCCGACCCAACCCGGTCAACGCGCGTAAAATCCGTGTTGACGGTTTTTGGGTGGGGGGGGGGTCATGCATGACCTCGTCCAAGGAGGTCTCGTCAAAGGGGGTCATGCATGACATCGTCTCAGGGGGGTCAAGCATGATGTCATGCAAAGGGGTCATCGCGCTAGACCGTGACGGGAAAGAAGGCGAAAATTGGCTAAGTGTTGAGCCCCATTGCACAAGGGGGGTCGTGCATGACACCGTCCAAGGTAGGGATGGCAACAAAATCCGAACCCACGGGTACCCACCCGACCCAACCCGGTCAACGCGGGTAAAATCCGTGTTGACGGTTTTTGGGTCGGGTTTGGGTTTAAACCCGTTCACTATTCACTGGGTTGGGTTGGGTTTGGGTTTAGGTAAACCCGACCCGTGGGTACCCGCCCACCCATATAATTAATTTTTTCGGTATATTTAATATTCTAAACAACTAATCTTATTTATGTTTGTGGAGACATGTCTAATTTTTTCTTTTTAATTGTTTAGAATGAAGTTGATGTTATGGAGTGGAGAGTAAAGAAACTTAATTGAAAGGAAGAAGCTTTCAATTAAACATGTTATTTATGGATAATTTGTGATTTGCTTCAATTTTCTTGAGTTTTCTAGATTGGTGTTGAACAATTTGTATAGTTAATTTGTGATTTGTTTGAATTTTCTAGAATGGTGTTTTATATATGGATAATTTTTATTGAGAGATTGATATTTGACTTTAATTTTGATAAGAACTTGTAATTGTAAATTTGTTTACGACAAAACCCGTGGGTACCCATGAACCTGCGGATAACCAATGGGTTGGGTTGGGTTTGATTTTTTCAAACCCAATGGGTTTTACCCCGGGTTTTTTTCAAAGATAAACCCATGGGTTTGGGTTTGGGTTTGGGTTTGGCAAAACCCGACCCAACCCGACCCATTGCCATCCCTAGTCCAAGGGGGTCAAGCACAAGGGGGGTCAAACATGATGCCATCCAAGGTGAGTCGATGTTGGCAAGTGAAGAAGGGCAACGCTAGTCTAGCGAGTCCCTAGACGTGGTGGCGAAGAAAGCCAAAATTTGGCTAAGTGTAGGGGGTCAAGCACAAGGGAGGTCATGCATGAGGTCAAGCGTGATACCATGAGAGCCAAAATCTGGCTAAGTGTTGAGACCCATAGCACAAGGGGGGTCATGCATGACACCGTCCAAGGGGGTCAAGCACTAGGGTGTCAAGGTGGTTAGCATGAGTACCACCAAGCGTGAAGCCTTCACTCACCAAACAAGACACCTCCATGGCATAAGGGGTTAGCTATCAAGTGTCAAGCACGCAAGACAGTCAATGCATCAAGCAAGCTACATCAAACACCAAGCAGTGGAGCAGCGGTTACCTAGGGGCGGTTGCACGACGGTTACAAGGGATGACTATAAATAGGAGAAACGAAGACGAAGCAAAGGTTCCACAACCAATCATTTGACACACTGTGTCAAAATTTATCTTTTCCCTGCAAATCAGCTTTTAGTTTTCGGAGCTCTCACTGAACCTCCATAGGAGTAGAGTAATGTAGCTTGTTCCCAAAAAACCATCAAAAACATCAAACACCCTCGTTCGAACATTGTTCGGAGAGGAGTGGACCGTGTAATTATCGTTGTTCAAGAAGTCAAAGGTGCATTCATTGTGTTCAAACACCAGATTTTCCTCGCCGGAAAACAAATTGGCACACCCGGTGGGACACTGTGTGTTTGATTTGATGGCTCCACGACTGAGAGAACAAGAAGGTGATCTTTCACCTGAGTTTGTAAAAGAGCTAGTGGCCAGTTATGATCTTGGTCAATTAGCAAAAAGTGACGCCGGAAACAATGGCGGGGTAAGAGGCCAACCATCACCGACGCCATGTTTGGGTGTAACCGCATCCACCTTGTCTCTCCACCAGTCACTACTGGTAGAAATAAAATTAATGGAGGAGGCTGTGGTGGGATACACCAAACAAATGGTATCTCAACTTGATTTTTTCCATACTCGCATAAATCGACGTTTGGATCAACTGGATGAGATTTGCGAGATAAATAAAAATAATTTTAAGGAGTTTTGTCAACTTTCGATAAAACCTGTGTTGAGATCGGAAGTTTTGGCAAAAGATGGTGTAGATCCACCGTCAAACATTGCTACTGAGGATACGAGTAATCTAGATTCCGGTGGCCGGACTGCTCAGCCACGGTCAGAGAACTCATCGTCTCTGATGGAAATTCAACTACCTCTTCAACATGGTGGTTGTGGCGAGAATCTCGCTCCCACGTTCACCACTCATGTAAAGCAACCGCCTGTGCCGACAGTTACTCATAAAACTGTCTCAGAGGCTAGACCATGCTTGAACGTGAGAGTTGGTGGAGGGTTAATAGATGATATGCTACCATAAGCTTGCCCAACCTCGATGCCATCTATGCTCGAGCGGCCTGGTGGATGCAAATCGCCAGGGGGGCATGCAGAAGGCCATGGAAGTCTACCTAACAAGGTGAAGTGTCAAGCTGGGGGACACGTTGATGTCAAGAAAATCGAACAGAAGGGTGTGTCCAACAGAATATCATATTTGTTGTCTGGAGATGGCATGGGGGGCAAGTCATCAACCACAAGCAGTGGGTTGACAGTTGTGCGGAACAAGCCACAACAAGCTCAAGCCACATGTGTTTCCAGCAAGCCTGATGGATACAAACCATCAAGGGGGCAGCAAGGAGGGCATGGTAGCCTACCACCTGACAAGTTGAAGGTGAAGTGTCAGGCTGGGGGACACGTTGATGTCAAGAAAATTGAACAAAAGGGTGTGTCCAAAAGAATACCATGTTTATCGTCTAAGGATTACATGAGGGATATGTCATCAACCACAAGCAATGGGTTGAAATTTGTGTCCAAGAATCCATTACAATCCCAAGCCGCATGTGCTGCTAGTAAGAATGTTAGCGTGGCTAAGGGGGGCAAGGGGGACATGTCTCCATCTCCACGCAGTGGACAGGGGGGCATGTCATCAAATATGAAGAATAGAGTGAGTGGCAAGTCTAAGTGGGTGTTGCCTACCCATGCCACCTATGATTTTCATAACTTTGACGTGTCAAAGAGTGCACAAGAAGGCAAGGCTCCTTGTAGCATGCCATCCATGAAGGGTCGACAAGGGGGCATATCATCAACCACAAACAATAGAAATATACACGTGCCCAAGAAACCACAACAAATTCAAGCCACACATGCTTGTAGTAAGCATGACAGTGTAGCTAAGCATGGCAAGGGGGGCATGTCATCGATGACAAGTAATGGAAAGATAAGCGTACCCAAGAAGGCTCAATGAGTCCAAGAGCATAGTGATGTAGCTAAGTGTGACAAGGGGTGTATATCTCCAGCTTCGTACAGTAGAGTAGGGGGCATGCTATCGATCGTAAAAAAACGAGTAGGGGGCAAGTCTAGGAGTGTTGGAAACAATCAAGCCCCTCAAAAAGTTTCTAAGTATGAGAGTGGGTTAAGGGATGGACGAAGAAGCAAGTCCATGCTTAACAGCCCTCATGGCATGCCAAACATGAATGGCAGACAAGGGGGTAGGAATAAGACATCTCGGCACACACCAACTAGACATGGTCCCACAAAGGGCCAAGGGTGGTTATGTGCTAATTGTAGGGATCATCAAGACATAAGGGTTGAACATGGTCAAGTTGGCCACAATGGTGACCATAAACTCTTTAAGTCCAAACACCCATCTTTCCAAACATATGGGAAGAATAAACATGTGTCTTTTCAGGGGAAACTAAGACAAATGACAACTCATGGTCTTGTTGATGACTCAAAAGAGTTGAAGATGTTTAGTGTGCCACCCAGGATGAGGCAAACACATCGGGCTCAACATAAGAACAACATGTCTAATGAGACGGCTCAAGCAAAGGAGCATGAGACCCCTTGCAAGCCTGCCAAGCCAAGACAAGTTGATCAGGTACCATCCATTGTTAAGTTGGAAAATTCGAAACCAACACCAAAGGAATGGTATTTCCTTAAGGAGGGAAGGCATGTAGTGTATGGATGGTTGGTCTTGTTTGATTCATGGATTTGGCAGTGGGTGTATACCTTTGGCACATTGGTAGTTGCCAAAGGGTGTGGAAATCGGTGATGTCTATCACTCCTTACTATATTAATTATATAAATAATAGTTAAAAAA